AAGACGGATGTGCCATTTTAGAAGCTAGAAGTGTTTTTTTTCTCTCAAACGAAGTAGCCATGCTTTTGAGGATTTAACACTGTACTACTCTTTTTTTAAGGCGTCTATACCATTGATGGATTGTCATTGTGGGAATAGATCAGGGACGTCGCTCCATTATCGGATCTGTGCCGTTTTTCAAACACATATTAATCCACGACTGCCCGAGCCTATTGGACAACAAAATACGATCCCTCGTACGCTTACAGAAGGAGCAGCCGGTATAGCTAGTAAGCTATTAGATAAAGAGCTTTTAGTGATAAGATTCTCTGGTTATGGTATGCTGGTCAATTGTACGCCATCCGATAGTGTCCACTTGACATCAATCACATGATATTGTATTACGACGAGAGAATACTAGCTTATGGTGCACATACGTCATCTGTACTCGCTGGATCAGACAATCTCTGGAGAGAAAAAAAATGCACTTTTACGTTATGTGAATCAACCAATATTTGATTTATGATTTTTACGTGTGTAACACAAATATAACCTACTCCCTTTGCCTAGCTATATGATAAATTAAACAATCATGAACTGTTTTGGTTCTCATGTTATATTTTTCATTATTTCTGATTGATAGAATTGAAACATTTAACAAAGGAAATTATTATTTGTAATGTTTAGTAAGGGTAGGAGGGTTGAGTTCTTATTCTCGTATACTCGAATGAAGTATGTCTTCAGTTAGGTATGGAAATAATTAAATTTTCGTTCAATTACTTTTATTAATTTCATTCGTACAGAATACATAGAATAAAACTTAAGACTTCAAATTGGTTTACTTACTTGAATTTGCACTGATATGAAATTTCGATAATGAAATCACTCTGTTTTCAATATTTACAGATATGATTCAAAGCTTAATATTAACATCATAGTATCATAGGATTGGCTGTTTATACTACATTTAAGAAAACTTATAATCCCTAAATAGCCAGCACATAAGCCAGAGTATCCCCCTCAAAATGCATATATTTTGATTATATTCAAAACGATCTAATAGACCTATTGAACATTGTGTTCTATGACTGTTTCAAAGTAGCACATGTATTTGTATCTGTTACCGCAGATATCTCGTATTACCATGACAAATGCATTGATGATGAACCAATATGTGGCATGGCTACGAGTTGGTTGTTACTTGTACAATTCATAAAAAATATATAATTACATAAAACATATGAGTTACAAAGATAGGTGTTATACTGAAGCTATAAAACCCCGAGCTTTGTTGCATGGAGCCTTACTTTTTTAACTTACAGACACTTGAACAATTCCTATTGGATATTATCAAACTAGCAAAAAAGGTGAGTAAGAAAACCTTAATGAAATAAACACGAACGAAACTATAATCATGCAAGCACTCAAACTCACAGATATTTAGAAATGTACTATCACTAATTAAAATGCTCTAGCAAAAAATCACTGTAGACCGTTGGTGTAGACTATATGATACTGTTATGAACATTTATATATTGGCTTTGATTTAGTTATGGAGGCGTACTTATTCTATACGCTTCAGCTTATTTTAAATCTTTTACCGCTTGTATGTGTTATATTGATTGTTATATAACCAATAATTTAATAGCTCCAGTCGTATGCACTTTATTCCCTTGTAATCGTTCTTGCATATCGCCATTGCCCATTCCTGTGCTCCAGTGTCTGTCAAGGTTTATTGATGTGAATCAGCCTCGTTTTCTCTCGCTGAAAGTGAGTTGTTCATATATTCTTATTTCAAAGTAATTAAAAAATCTGTTATTGTTAAGAACAATATTGAAATGTATAATGATGTTAACTCTTCAATTATATATTTCTCAATAACTGATCAGGACTTGGCTGATACAATGTGTTTCAATTATAAATTAATAAGAAGACCTGTTATATTCTTATTATTCAAATACATTTATGTTTTTCTAATCATCCATAATTATACAAAAAAATGCTTTTATTTGAGGAGCGTTGGACTTTATAAAAGGATTTGATATTAACACCGCTTGTTTTCACTACTGAGAGCGATTTCTTTTTTTGTTATTTGTTATTGAAACATACTTGAAAAAATGGTGTGTTGATTTCATATTGTCAAAATAAGGATCAAACTCGGAATATTTACTGATATGTGTTAAAAATTACGGTTTTTATATTTGGTTCAGTATCCATAATGCGGCATGTTAAATAAAAGAATATGAAGGGATATTTTATCTAGGTTAAACAACGGTCCTTAAGATTATAGAGCACGGAGAGAAAAAAACGCCATTTTAATAGAAAAAAATGAAGTCGAGGCTGCTCCGTTTCCGACCATAATGGAAATTAAATGAACGCAAAGTAATTTGCCGCCCTAAAGTACACACAACGACAGTCCCGACGGAGCGTCAATCTCTATGATGTGTTTCTGGTGGTATTGTGGGCCCAAATGAGTTAGGTTTTGTAAAGGATATCGGCCATTAATGGACAGAAGAAGCGTAAAGGATAATGTAAGAATTTCTACCAACTGTAGATAGATATGATGACCAACGTATTTTAAGCATTATATTTATGTCAAATTGTGATATATTTTTTAAGTCGTAACCGTAATATTCAATACAAAATTCATCATGTACAAATTTTAAAACATGGTTTTATTGTGATTTTATTACAACCGCATCTAAGTACTGAATGCAAATGATTTATGGCAGAAAATGTCAAAATTTCTGTTCCATGTGTAAAATTGCTAGCGGCTCCACTTAATTTTACTAGTCATATATCTTTTCTTTTAAGTCATTTGATAAACTTTGATCAATCTATTCGATTTTTATAAGATGTGTTTGTGTCTTCGTTGGAATACTCGGCGAGTGTTTTAACGTAGCGTGAAACTTTTTGAAACTTGATTACATGTTTCGCATACAAACTTGAAAAAAAATCACAACTGAATGATTCATATCCGAAAATACTGACACATAAGATCGTCTTGTGCATTGGTAGTCATGTTTAGAATGTTTCATTCATATTGTTTCATATAATTTACATACGTGTCACGAGTAATTTATTTNTTTTTTTTTTTTTTTTTTTTTTTTTTTTTTTTTTTTTTTTTTTGGCGTTGGCGTTGGCGTTGGCGAATTAAAATTACTTTCGATTAACATAAAGTATTCGTCCTTCTTCAAAATTCGAATCATCAAATATATGTCATTTGAATACTAATCGTGAAAATTATTAACGAAGACCGCTTTCGTTTATCCGCTGGAAAGATGTAGGTGTTCGAGGAAATATTCCCTAATAGAATGACTGCAAAAGGCTGATGGGCGGATCAAATTTGCTATGAATCGCTATTCTTTTTCAATGATTGTTGAATGAATTGTAGTTTGTCTTCATGGTGGTCGTGATGATGCCATAAATCATCAAAAACAAACAACATATTATGGTAAAAGTGGAATGTTTGTAACATAACTGGATATATAGAAGCAAGAGTAATAGTATAGCCTCGATCGTGGTCGTAACACCGTCGATCAGTAATCTATTTCTCCATCAAGGAGGGAAGGAGCGAAAACAAAAAGTCTTAAGTGTATTCTAGCATACCCGGTAACTGCTTTGTCGGGATGCAAACTAATGCCATACATACGTCATAAAACCGATATTTTACCAGTGTGAAATGTTTGTTATTCTGGTTCCGATTTCAGTAAACCATTACCATGATCAAGCATGGACCATGTGCTCAAAACGATTTTTCTGTTACAGTATGAAACCATTTTTTCATATAAACGACAAAATGTGTCCTCGGAACAAAGGCTTGATAACAGATTCTGAGTTTGAGCATAATAACGGTTTAATGAATACGCCTCCTGGTCTTTGATATCGCATTCAGTGTGATGATTCACTGATATCATTTAATAATATCTATATATATACCATAATCAGGTATGATCAGATGACATGTTCGTTTGAAAACAAAAAAACTAAACTGTCTGTAACAAGGTTCCGAACTCGGAACACATTGCTAGGTATCCAGTCCGCAAATATCAATCCAATTACAAAATAGCAAATAGCCTACAGTACTGACAGTGATCGGCATATCTCCGATCTGACTCATCGTTCGTGGGGAATATGGTAATTTTTGTTGGTTTAGTGGATAAACGTTTGCATCGATTCTGGTTTAATTGTTAGTGTTGCACACCTGTTTGACCATGTATAATTGCTACATACTGTTGACTGCGTTTCCAACTGATTATATGAAATAAGTGAAGATCAAATCACCCACGTGCGCGTCCTTGTCTTTATGTGTAGAAACAGTGTTCTCCTTATTGAGTACATTGCCTTTTATTGCATGTTAATTAAACAGTGAAGCACTGGAATTGTTAGTACGACATGAATCTTTAAAGATATGATACCCTCAACGATATATATCGAGAATATTGGGACATCATAAAACCAAAGGGAAATGAATGTTGACGTGATGTCAAAACAGTAATCCTGACACAGCATTTTGTTTTTTCGGGAAATGAAATGTACGGAGAATTCCAATGCTTTTCGTAATATGATAAGTAAACCTCAATCGTTTATCAATATATGCCGGATAAATTTATGTGTACGTCGTTTTCAATCAAAATTATATAACATGAAGCATAAATTAATTGAACAGTTATTATAGTTTTGCATCAATAAAGGATACATGAGACTGCGTGTCGTATGGTTGATTGCTTAGATATAGTTCTATACTCACCTTCAGTTTAAATAAGGGTCATGCTAACAGATTGTATGCTGATTCATAATAGGATGGATGATCACAATCGTTTAGGCCTCAAACGCTGTGGTACGTGTTCTTTTCTATTTTACTTTCTTGATTTGCACTTAATACCTTGACCAATTAAACGATCGTAAAAAAATAGTAAAAAATGAAATTATAATGTAACAAGCAAAACAGAACCGCCGGAACAAATCCTGTGTCATATTGTTAGTGATAAAAAAACGAATGCAAACTGATTCAATCGAGGATGTATATGCAATTTTATTCCAATTTAATTCTAAATAAGTTTGAATACATGCTGTTTTTACAGAAATCCAAAGACATTGTCATTTGCACCCTTCCCTGAAGGAATAACAAAGGGCGTTTTAATGATCGGTTCGCGTCATTATTAATATAGAACAGATTATCGGGTGCAGCTGACTGGCAGTTGTACGTTAACCAAAGGAAGGTGCTACACTAATGCGTTTTCTTCTAGCAGAAACGACAATTTGTTCAGTTCAAAAATGTCAACCCCTATTAAAATATGACGCGTGCCGTGTGTTGTTCCTTTACAAATTGTAGCGGGTTTCAAATGACATTTTCCGAAACTGTTTTCAGGATTTACAATTCAGGAGTGAGTTATAGAGAAGAATGTTGGCTCATACATGAAACCACGTGAAAAAGATAATGGGACACATTTCAATAATATATCATTTTATTTAACTAAAATAAGAGAGTCGATGAAAATGATGACCAAGAAGATGGAAAATTGGACTTAAAACAGGAAATCGTTCCTGGAATGCGCCTTGAATTGTTTTGTATGTACATATAAAGTTGTTCTTTCAATTCATTGACACTATACCATTAGTATCCCGGATATATGATCAACTGAGCGATTCTTTGTAACAATGCTTTGATGAGACGCCTACCTTTTTTTTTATTTTAAGACACTTTGTATAATAGCATATCTATTGTCGTGTTAATCTCAAAATCGTTTCAAATCGAATTCAATACATCATAATTATGATATCAGAAACCAACAGTTACAGTTGTTACAGTTTGTACTCGTTTGTCATACAAACACCCTCTAAGTTGCGATCATAGAAAAATATTTTGTTTAAAAATTCATAGTAATATTTATTAAATATCAATCCCGCATTGTCAATTTCGTCGAACTATTACAATTTCTGACATAGTGAAGTGTATGATATTGTTGAAGAAGTGACATGTCAAGTATACATGGTATCATTCTCATATTATGAGGATTCCGTTATCTAAACATATTTTCGTTCGATTATATTGACACGAAAACAGGCTGTAGACGTTACAATGTTATAGTATTAATCATACATTTGTGTATACAACACACAGACAAATATTTCCACAGAGAAAATGAGGAATCGCCTCAAAAAAACAGTTTAATCAGGATACTGGTCCATTTATATTTATCAACAATGATCCAACTCAGGTTAGCGCTGGTCAATGTTCCTGCGATACAACAACAACGCCATGCAACATCATGTCGATCAAAACATTAGTCGATGATAAATAACAACAACTTAACTACAAATAGATGCAGAAGGATTCTTAGTCCGGTTTGAAAATTAACGAAACACAAACCAATCATTAATTACAAAAATAATTCACGCATGATGGCACATCATCAAAACGTTTTTATGAGAATTGTTTCATATGTCGTCAGATGGTTTGTCCGAGGAATCGTGTATTTTGTCGTAAGATGGCACTGTGCTTATAGCCGTCCGGGACATTGAAGGATAATTACCAGAATACGACATGTCACTTTTGCCTCGCTTCCATCTTTTGTTGCGAACACAACGAAAAACAGACAAAAAACCTTGGCGGAAATTACGGTTCATAAAACAGTATGTGATCGGATTACAACACGAGGAGATGTACGCAGTTAAGTTTATGAATGCTAACAGCGTCATTGAGATATGTTGCATTGCATGTTCCTCGTCCAGAATTATCCAGCTTTGGATTATGTATAATGGTGTCCAACACAGGAAAAACTCATACACCACTGCAAACAACATTTTGATGACGCGTCTCTTTGCTGCCCTGCTCTTCTCGCTGTTTGACTGACGCATGCCCCGTTGTAGGTCGAACCTCCTCTTTGATTTAGCCCGACTGCTGTATGACTCCGCGGGTGCGACCGTCTTACTGCTAAATCCTTCCGAGACTGGAGAGAGGTCCTCATCCTTCATAAAACCTGTCGTCTCCTCACGGACACTTGTGTGGCCGTTCATGGCTTCTGTAATACAGAGTAGCAGCCATACAAAGAAATGAAATTCTGTCTGATCCAACAAAAGTATAGACCGTTTATTTGATCTAGATAAAGCCAAGCTATTTAAAGTAAGAATGATTTTAGGTAAATATAAGCGTGGTCTAACATAAATATTACATATTCGATTCGGAAACTTCCGAATGTACCTCCTGCCTATTCTCTCAGTATACATGTACAATTGAAATGGTAATAATTTGATTAATGAAAGCAAATTCCTTTTTAATAATTCTTTTAAGACGTTTTAACTTAAGTTGTTATCAATTCTGGTTTACATCTTATTACTTTACCTTTTTCACTTTGGGCGTCCCGTTTCATCCCAACCCAAAGTGTCATGGCAATCATTCCGTAAGCACTGGACATGATAATGACTGGCAGTATCAGAAGAACAAGGTCAATGATGATGGTGTACGCCCTTTTCCACTCCTCGTTTCCCCATCTCTCGATACACATATTATTTCCCCTTTTCAAGTGTCGAAACTCCGTGTAAACGGGGATCGGGATCATGACGAAAAAAGAAAGCGCCCAACAGATGGCGATGGTTTTGTAAGAGTGTGACAAGGTTTGCCACTTCCGGGAATGAAGAGGCCTACAAATGGCGAAGTATCTCTCCAAAGCAATGGCGACCAGTGTGAAGCAACTGGTGGCTACCGACACACCTGTCAAAACACATGAGAAAAAATGATATTGATTAGTAATAATATCTAGGATTAAGATAACATATTTATCTTATTTGTTAATTGAGAATGATAATGATAATTATTTATGTTTGACAGAATTTACGCTTAATAGAATATCGTCAATACTGACATCATGTGAAATCTAAATCTGACTCTTGTGTTTCCCGACATCGAATGCATGACAATTGTCTCATTTCTGAGTAAACTATTAATTAACACCTGTGTATTTTAACACAATGTCTTAAATAGTTAAATAACAAAACAATGTGTTTCAATTCAATAAGGTGAGACTATGAAGAAAAATGGCTAATAAATGCATTTCTTCTTCACATCTATATTTTTATTACTGATTTTATTGAAAATAGATGACAATCGATATGCATTTGCTACCTATAAATACAGCATTTATTTTAAATGTCGCGTAAAGCGATACAGACCTAAACGGGTTTGTATGAAATACACATGAACCGCGATGTATGATCAGAACACTCCTCGATAAAAACCTTCCGAGAGGACAATGATCCCAGGGCTCCTCAACCCTGACATTCTTCCCAAACATTCGCTGATGAAGTAAAATATTTGAACCTTAAAAAAAACAAAAAACATTCCGCCTCAAGGCGCACAAAATCAACCAATTAATGACTTTGATTGAAAGAGAAAATGCTGCTGTTCTATCACATTGGGTTGAAGGAGAGAAATATAGCATCGCTAGAAGGTGTGTCTTTTTTTTGTAGCAATTATAGTCTAGAAATACTCCATTGCGTTTAATTAAAAACATCTTGTTTAACATACGGTAACGACAAAAGAATCGACACGACGTCGATAAAACAGCAACAGGTTCCATTTCATGGCATTCAATAAACTCGGTTTTTCTTTGGTAGTACAAAATATATCTGTTTTCATACGATCTACATCCGGCCGTCTGGATGAACAAGTTTCAGACATATAAAACAAAATACCCGCAGATATATAAAACAAAACACCAACAAACGATTACCGCTAACGTAAAGTATTGCTCACTTCCATGCAAGCCCCAAGGGAAATGATCACACATAACAGTGTCTGCCCGGACTAAAAAAGGCCGAATGTCCACCAGACATAATGTCCAACGACATGAGCAATGTCTGACAATTCAAATTTAACAACGTCAATCGATATATACTGTACAACAGTGTCATTCGTCATAAACAATTTTTCACTTAGTAAACGAGAAATGTATTATCATATCTATATCAAGGTTCAATGATTATATATACGTATCGATTTTGGAATCATTTTAGCACAACCGTTTATTTCGTTGAAAATACTAATTTAATTCATTCGCTTTTGTTTTATATCAACCATGTTGTCATTGATGTCACTGTTATCAAATAGGTACAGCTGATACCACGTGACCCATGCGGACAATCACGATCATAGGGTATATTTTAAGTTCACCTTCTGGCGTTCTATTTCGGACGGACGCAATTACACTATGGTCTGGTAGACATAGCAAATAATTTGTAAAATGTTGTTGATGACGAAGAGATGTTCTTGAGATTTTCCGAGATTAAATCGAGCTTTTAATCAGGTTTCCTTTTTAGAAGAAGGTATTAATCACGAACTTGGTAATGTAAATTATGTCAAAGTGCAGACATCGCACAGGTGTACACGTCTCGGATTTGTATGTTATGGCGACACATTAGTGTTCTATTACGAGGTTTTTATTCTTCTCTGAAATTACTCTCGCGATTTACACCTGTGTCGAGACGTATTCCTAAATTTGTCTGTAGATTATATATTTGCAGTTGTTTGTCCTGCACGAGATTGTATTGGTTTGATGACACCACTGGTGTACGTATGTGACCTTAAGTCCATTGGTGGACGACCCGGTCTTGATGTTAATATCTTTGACTGGACGAAATTTCATAACTTTGTCAGTGTTTATGGGTATAGATATTTTAATTAAGCATTGCTTGTTTTATCTATTTACTTACCATAAGCTAAATACTGTTAAGAGTAGAGTCGACAGAGATTGAATCATCCCACTAAAATGCATCTAAGCATATTTAAAAAAGGCATGTTTATCATATCATTGATTTCACATCTTTGATTTCTTCTTTGATCAATTTATCCAGAGCGCAATCCTGAAATAAGGTAGAACAAACAATGTTTGTAATGAAACCCTTTTGATCTAGTTAATAACTTGAATAAGGAATACTGTGTTAAAAAGGTCAACTTTTTACGTGACAATGACATTATTGTGTTACATAAAAAAAGAAATCATATTTTCATAAATATTTCTATAACTCGAGAAAAGTAACAATTACATCAATGATCAAATTTTAACTTAAATCAAATTGTATTTCAACTTAAACATGTTCTTATTAATGTTAGAATAATGAAACATGTATTGATGTTTAAGATCTAAATGGTCTTCAAAAACAAAAGGCAAACGACGAGATAAATCTAATTTAGAGGACACTGACCTCAATCATTTTACTATGTGTTTGCAATATGCTCGCTGGAAGATATATATCTATACTAATGATAATAAAAATTGTAGTATTTGGATGTTCATATCATATGTATACAAAGTTTTAATCTGTTTGTGGTATTGTTCCTCATTTGACCTGTTCCCAATTTCTTGTGTTAAACATGTATTGGTACCGTGTTTACTTGTTCGATATCCGCCCAATATGATTAAATTGAGTCTAGCATGTTTACACGAAACGTACCAAAACTGCCGGAAATTGCAACAACAACCCTAATCTGGCTCTACCCTATAGAATATGTTTCGTTTGGCAGTACCATTGGTCAATCGGACAATTCCACTGTAAAAGAAATCGTTCTTAGTTCGCGACACGGACACTGGCCGAGTATCAATCATTTCCCTTTCTTCTCCGTCACCTTCTGTTCGCAATACTTTGAGCATGTAATTGCGGCAATAACCGTCACTAGATATCCCAAAAACAGCGAATAAAACGGTATTTACATCTAAATCACCACGCGAGTCGGACCGGTCAGTATCGCTAATAAGGTTGGAATTCATTTCATTTCAAAGAGATGTTCGGGGATCTGACAATAAACCTGCCCTATCACAGTAACAGAGGCCCCAAAGTCCTTTGGGTCGGTGGGATATTTAGTGTAAATAGAATCATGGCGTTGTAAAGTACACAGATATAAATATCAGTGATAATGGTTTATTATATACAATTGGAAATGAAATCACGCTGTTTGTGATCCGTCCCCCTAGCTATTATAACGGTACATGCATATTACTTGACACAATAAGTCAATCCGCGGACAAAACGCATGCATCAATGGTATGAGAGAAGTAATTTTGTCGGAAATGAAAATTTCGATTAGCTACGATGTTGATGGTATATGAAGCGAGCTCGTTTTGATTACAGATCATTGGTCAAAATATGAATCACGTGTTTAGCCTGTGGATAAATTGATATGTTCTCGAGTAGATATACCTCTCGATAGACTTCTCTCCCTCTCAAGAATCTTGAACTAATAAAGGGGGAAAAGATAAGACTTTTAAATGTCGTATCAAAACAAAGCGAGAGACATATACAACAAGGTAATTCTTTATAAAAGTTATCTTCTCTTGGGAGCAGGTATCGTTTGTCACGTCACTTGTTTGTGAGAGTAACGTCATAAATTTTGAGAAAACGACGTTATTTTCTCACACAAACCAATGACCTAACAATCAATACCTGCTCCCAAGAGAAGTTAACTCTGCAATACGCAAAGACCGAATACATCAAATATAGCTGATCGTTCTTCAGTTCATAGTGTGTAAGGATTACTGTATTCATCAGCTTACAGGTAGGATATTATCGTGAAATATAAGCGATATGGGTATATGGCGAAGCAGTTAATTAGCACCATCTCTTACATATTTACCATAATATTCATTTAAGGTAAACACTTGCTGTTTGTTGTCATGTAATGCCTTCCAAAACAAGGCCTCAGATGACAAGGGAAGCTGCAGAATCAAAAATGTATAAATTAATCTAGACCTGGTACTGTATACAGATAACGAAAAAAGTAGATTAATTATTTTGATGTCCTTTTCTTAATAGAAATACCTTCGAGTAAACTATATATGTTTTCGTCTTTATGTCGTGACCATTTTTTTTTCTTCTTTTTATAAACGCCAATAAATCCTATTTAGACATAAAACACGCACGCTTTATTAAAGTTGTAAAATAGGAAAATAATCCACGTAAGAATATTGTTTTTTTTCAAAGTCACGGAGATCTCAGAAAACATACATCTTTACAAGTGTCTATTGATCTCTTTACTAGGGCCTCGCTCTTTTTGACAGAATCAATGTCAAACTAGTCCAAACCCTTCAGTTTATCTGTAAATAAAATAAATGGGAAGACGTTGAATTTCCTTCATGTATTATTAAGTGACATACATCCATGAGATGATTTTAACATTATTTGATACAAGATAGTGTATAAGAGATGAAAAAAAAAAAACGCTCAAGGCATAGCATATCATAAACTTAAACGATCGTTTAACATTTAATTTTTATTATCGCTTATTTTTTTCTGACATATTACATTTTAGCTGATAATGCAAGTTCAATTGGGGTTCGACGCCTATTGCAAATTCAGAACGGTTTTAATTATGTTATATGATAGATGCATATTGCAATTGTCTTCTTTGTACTAGGGTTTTATGTCCTCGCAACCAATAAGGTCATATAAAGACTGGTGCTTATGGAAACATCAGCCGGAAAAAAAACGTAGAACGGTAAGAACAGAAAAGACATCGATTCCAAGCAATGGGGGCAACAGGTCAGTTTTGGTCACTTAAACAAAAGACGCAGAAGAGTTCTTCCAACTCCGGATCTCAACACTTTCTAGCCCTTCCATTACCCTCACCATATTTCTTGTTTTCCCTCCCACTTTATCCATATTGATACATATGTACATATCCTGTTCTGTCATCATTTTTTTGTGCCTGTATATATGATT